CAGCCCGCAGGCCTTGAGTTTGACACTCCTGATTTACTTCATAGAATTGTTTTCAGGGGGGGAAACAGGAAAGAAACACAGTGCATGTGGCTTGAGCTCTGTACAATAAAGGTAGGATAGAAATCTAATAAATGTATTCAAATATAATACATTTATAATATATAAATATATAATACATAGCATTAATACATTCATAATATATAATATAATATAATAATAAAATATAAAGCAGTAGCTGAACAAACAACACTAATTTACATCACACAGATGGTACTTAAAGCCAAAGAACATGCCTCAGTAACAACAGCCAGCCAATCAAACAATCTGAAGTCAGACCATGACTCAGAAGTAGCCGAACAAACAACTTCCAACTAATTTGCATCACATAAAAAGGTATTTAAAGACCAGTGCTCTGACAGACAAGCACAATTCAAAGCACACTGATGATATCTCCTCGAATGGTGACAGAATGTTTGCAAACCTAATTGCAAAGCTTGGAGCTCAGACCAACAGCCCAAATCTAATAAATAAATATTTCATCTTGGAGTATGCTCTCATTGTGGGGAATATACTCATTCTAGCCGCTCCTAGTGGAGTAAAGTAAACATGCAATTTGTATTTCTTGATTTTAATAAGTCAGACTTATTCAAGTATCCTTGACAATTCCTATACAGGAGTGGGTGGTGGTGATAGTGATGATTTACTTGGAGGATGGGTGACTAACAAAAAGATGGCTAGATTTGTTGTTATTTTTGTTGTCTGATGTATTGAAATATATCTTCATAAATTCAGATCCAAAAAACAAGTGCATATTTTGGAATGAATAATAGCTATTTTTAAAAAGCCTGCATTTTTTAATTTTTCATATTATTTCCAAGGACAACTCCATAGAACAAACAAATGCCTAATTAGGAGCAACAGATAAAAATGTTGGCACTCTGGAGTTGAAAGTGGCACAATGACAAAAGATAAAAAACATTTAACCCTCCAAAGAAATTTAATCCAGAACTTAAAGCAGCAAAAAATATTTTTGCTTTTGTTATGAAAGGATATCTGGACATTATTCATTACTTTAAAAACAAGGATGGCTAAATTCCTGATAAAATATTGGAAAAAAATTTCACATGATGTTCATAATATCAAACACCTTTCTACATTGTTAGAATTCCTTCATGTGATCTGGGAAAAACAAAGAACAGAAGTGAGGCATACTCTTGGCAATGAAATATTTTTAATGGAAAATCTGAGAAAGTTCAAAATGAATAGCCAAATTTTATCACAATATGAAAAGAAGTACTTTCTCAATATGTAGCAGAGCCAATATTTGACATATTATAACTTTCATAAAATAATAGACTGATTTTTTTTCTACTTGTTCTGAAATTTCTTGCACATTGAACCAAAGAGGCAGAGATTTCTTAGAATGCTACCTAGTTGTCAATAATCTTATTCATTTTCAGTAAATCATGTTATAGAGATATCAACAGACTCCTTACAAGTGCAGTATTTTAATCCTTAGCCACGTTCAAACTTCGATTTGCAATGCTATCCATATTTTAATAACTATTATTACCTCCTATATCTACATAAATACAAACATACCATCCTTATTTTCTCATTATGAAATGAGAAGATCTAGATATTATCTAACTTTGTTAGATAATACCTAAGGATTTGACAAGCACATTTTTGTCAGCAAAGAAATTATCAGTGGTTTCTGATTCCAATAGTGTCCACTAAAAGTAGCAGGTAAACACATTTGGATAATATTTCAGAACAGCAAACAAATCAGTCTCATCTGAATACAGTGGCAACTTGATTCAAACACTAGCATTGTTGGGGAATGTCTATGGAGATTCTCAGTCATCCAGGTCATGGTTGTCACAAAGGTGCTTTTTCAAGAGGCAACTAGACTTTCTGGTTTTTCTTTTTCTCCTCGTTGGGTAAGCAAGTTATTTGTGTCTGATCTAGTGACAATGATTCTCTCCTAGTGTTTTATTTATGAGTATCTTTGTAAAGCTGCACATCTCTTAAATGAAACCTCTATATTAAACAACCCCTTACTTTCTTTAAATAAGTAATTTTTTTTTATTTCTATAATAGAGTTAAATTATCCTCAGGAAACTCTCCTCAGCAAACAATTCTCTGCAGTATCCATTTTAATACTGCATTCATTGTACAGATTTGAGATCTGGAGGATCTTAAAGAGAAGGCTAAAAGAGTTTTATTTTGTTAAGTGTTGATATCTGAATTACACGTTGTTAATATATACATTTCCTTATAATGTCTTAAAAGTCTTTAAAACCTGGCTGTTACCGAGCCTGGGACACTGAATGTGCCAAAGGTACTGTTTCCTAGCTATATTGCTAATAGGCCGATTATCTTACTCTTGTATATTTTGAGTTGGATATTTTAATATTTTTACTGGTTTTACTGTTCTAAACATTTTTTAAAAAAATAATTGTAATATATTTCCGAACTGTAAGCCGCCCCGAGTCATTGACTGAAATGGGCAATCATAGAACTTAAACAAATAAATACATTTTCCGTAGTTATCACTTTTGCAGAGTTATCTGTACATTCCCATAGTTGTGAGTGGTTTTACTAAATATCTTTCAGTGCCTTTTAGGGTTTTTAGAGTATAGCATTTAGGGTTTTTAGAGTATACCAGTTTGTACCAACATCCAAGGCCAGGTACCCTGAAAAAGAATGTGGATTACCCCAAGCATTGCAGAGTTCTCAAAACACTTTGGCAAGTTAAAATTGACTGAACATGGACTGATCATGGGGGAAAAGCTGGGATGAGGTAAAATCTTTCTGTATCTTTTAAGCATAGGAAACCCGGAGCTAGTCTGTTTACTGCAGGTAACATTTTTTTAGTAAAAGAACCTTTTGCTTCAAGTAAATGGAGTTGAGGGTCTTTGGAGCAGATCTGACAGTCACATTTCCAAGTTATGCTTTCTGTCACAGTAATCAAATTGTATGTTTGTGAGTATGTTGTGGGCGTCAGATGAATAATAAATCACTACTGTTTTCAATAATAGACCAAATACAATTCCAGTTTGTCCTTTATTATTACCCCCTTTTGCCTTTCTTCCTGTATATTGATTTATTTTCAACTACTGTATTCCTCACCAATGTACTAATTGGATACAGAGTAGTTACTCTTCCAACTTTGAAAGAATATAGTTTTGATAAAGGATACTTCCCCTTTATCTCCTCTAATGACATATATCAAGAAGGATAATTATTATGGTTTACTAAAATGAAATCTTAGAGATAATATAATCTTTGTAGACTAAAACATTTAAAAGTAATAGGAAAACTCTCATTAGAGACTAGATTGAATAATGAATAAGTGATAAGTCTCCATGGCTTTTTAGTATCAACTCAAATTTCTTTTTAGCAATACAAATATCAGAGCTTTGGCAACATGACCCTGTACCAATTTTGAGAATTTAATACTTCATTGTTTAGAACAACCAAAAGGAATTATTTCGATAATTTGTAGGTTATTGCAATCAGATATAGGACACATACCATATGGTTTAAAGGAAACTTGGAATATTTGGCAATGCCATACATGAGATAAATTGGCAGACATTACGGAAACTGGGTGGATTCCCTTCAGTGCAAAAACTGCAGTAGAAAATTATATATCATTGACACTTGATTCCTATTAGATGAGCACTTATATATCAAAATTATTGTTCCAAATATTGCAGAGGTGTCAGAAAAAACCAGATTTTTTTTTTCATTTGTAGTGGTCATGCGATAAAGTCAGGTTTACTGCACTTATTTACAGGACTAAATCATAAAGTTAAATATGCTGAATTTATTATTTATTTAATCTTAGCAGCCAAAAATAATAGCTTTGCTTGGGAAATTTTTAGGTAACATAACAATTGAGTTGTAATAACAAGACCTCTTCAGTAGGCACATTAGGGGGGAGGGGAAATCACAAAGTTAAATTAATGAGTTCAGAGGGAGGAATTACAATTTTATCAAATTTGGATGAGTTTTATGATTTATCTCAATAGCAGTAGACTATAATCTGATATACTTCATGTACCAGATTAGGTTACATCTCTGCTCCATAACCTGCACTGGTTGCCAGCTTGTTTCTGGGTCCGATGTAAAGTGTTGGTTTAAACTTAAAAACCTTGTATCATGGGACCAAGATATATGAGGGATCATCTCCCTCATTTACATTAGTTTGCTCTATTAGATCTCACAGAGAAGGCATACAATGGATACCAGAGCTACTTTTAATAGTTCCTAGAAAACATGCTCTCTCTGCTGTGTTATCCACCTTATGGAACATCCTTCCTCCCCCCCCCTCCCCCCCAAATAAGACTGGCCCTATCAAAGTGTAATAGAGTCTGGTATTCTGAAAGATCCTTAAGACCTGATGATATAACCATAGAACTGGAGACTTCTGTAGGTATCTCCATTACTCATGCCATTTTTTATTCTCCTTTCAGCTATGATTTGATATTTATAATACTTATCACTGAGAATTTTCATATTAATATTGTTGTTTTTATATCTTTGTTTTTCGTCTATTATTGTGTGCCACCCAAAGTCACTGTAGATGAGATGAGTGGGTACATAAATTTAATCAATAAATTAATGCTCTCACTTTCTCTGTCCCTCCCCCCACCCCCTCTCTCTCTGAATTCCATATGTACAGTACCTACCTCTTTATTCTCATTGCAGTAGATCTTTGTATTTTCTCTATTGTTCTTTTTCTTTGGCTTTTTCTCTCTATATGTATCTTGGATTTATGTTAAAATACTTATCTGATATTGTTTGTTAAAAACTAATAAAATATATATTTAAAATATTAGGTACGTAGTAGCCATACCTTTGAGATAAAACATGTATAAATATAAACTTCAATGTATGATTAGTTTTTATTCATGTAAGCATTGGCAGGGCTCCAAATTATTGTTCTATAATTCTGTTAAGGAAATCTTTCTCCATTATTCTTTCACCAGTGAGTGCCAGTCAATTTGAATCTGAACCTGAACCTGAAGCCAAGGGAGAAACAAAATCAGAGCAGGAAGATGAGCCCAAGTTCAAGCAGGGAACAGAAACACTCAAAGCAGTAAAAGGTGCAGAGGTAGAAGTGGGTCGAGAGCCAGAGAAAGAAGAAGTTGCATTAAGTGAAAAAGAAAGGCAAAATGAAGATGTGAATGAAAAAGACAACTGCTCGGCATCCAGTCTCTCTTCAGCAAGCAGCACTTTAGAGAGGGAAGAACCAGAGCAAAAACTAAGCAATAAAGATAACGCTGGTAAATTTATTTTTTTATTTTATTTTTATTTTGTTTGTCAAACATGTACAAGATAACAAGTATAGGTATGAACATAAACATGAACAAAGGAAATAAATACAGATAAATAGGGACAGTAAGACAGGGATGGTAGGCACGCTGGTGCGCTTATGCACGCTCCCTTTAAGGACCTCTTAAGAATGGGGTGAGGTCCACGGTAGACAGTTTGAGGTTGAAGCTGTGAGGGGTTGAGGCTGTAACAATGGAGTCGGGTAGAGCATTCCAGGCATTGACCATTCTGTTGCTGAAGTCATATTTTCTGCAATTGAGTTTGAAGCTGTTTACCTTGAGTTTGTATCAATTGTTTGCCCGAGTATTATTGTGGTTGAAGCTGAATAAGTCATTGACAGGCAAGACTTTGTAGCAGACAATTTTGTGTACTATGCTTAGATTGGACAGCACAGTTTCAGATTGTCCAAGCTCAAAATTTCAAACCTGGAGGCATAGCAAATTCTACTGTGAGTAGAGGAGTGGAATATTCTTCTCAAGAAATACCTCTGAACCCACACACTCATGTTAATGTCTGATATACAGTGTGGGTTCCAGGCAGATGTATTGTATTCAAGAACTGGTCTGGCAAAGGTTTTGTATGCCCTAGTTAGCAAGTCAATGTTACCAGAGAAGAAGCTTCACAAAATAAGGTTAACAAATTTTAATGCCTTTTTGGCAATGCTATAGTGAGCTCTGAGGCTTAGATTGTTTGAGATGAGTACTCCTAGATCCTTGACAGAGTGAGGGTTGTCTATGACAGGGGTCCCCAACCACCGGGCCCCGGACCGGTACCGGTCCGTGGATCACTTTGTACCGGGCCGCAAAGAAATAAAAATAAAAAATAAAATAAAAATGGCGGCTTTCTTCACCTTCAGTGAATGCTGCTGGGATCAGGGATCAAGAACACAAAGGAGAGAAGGGGAGGGAGGAAGCAACCAAAGCCTGTCCTGCTCTCCGGCTCAGCGGCTTCGGTTTCCTCCCGCCTCGTTCCTCTCTCAGTCGCTCTCTCCCTCCTCCACCAGCCCAGGAAGAAACTGCTTCAAAGAAGCCGGCAGGATGGCTTCCTGTCGGCGCAGCTCCTCCGAAGCGCCCGTTCACCCCCACCCAGCCGCCCGTGGTTTAATCCAGTGCTCCGTTCTGCCTGCCTGCCTACCTTCGTTTCTGGTTGTTTTGGAGCAGCTTTGGCTGAGAATAATAACTATTCGCCTCTTTTTCTCAGCCGAAGCTGCTCCGAAACAACCAGAAACCAAGGCAGGCAGGCAGAACGGAGCACTGGATTGAACCGCGGGCAGCTGTGTGGGGGTGAACGGGCGCTTCGGAGGAGCTGCGCCGACAGGAAGCCACCCTGCTGGCTTCTTTGAAGCAGTTTCTTCCTGGGCTGGTGGAGGAGCGAGAGAGCGACTGAGAGAGGAACGAGGCAGACACCTGAGGGATGAGGCTGAGGGAGGGAGGGAGACACCTGAGGGATGAGGCTGAGGAAGGCAGGGCCGAGAGGCAGGGCTTCTCAGCCGTCCTGCAAGGACTTGTCCTGAGCCGCGGAGACAGCCGTGGGCCACCACCGCCTAGCGCTCAGTTTTGAAGGCGCTCCTCAGCCAAGCGCAGTTCCTGAATCTGCAGCTGAAACCCTCTGTTTTAAATGTCCCAATAGAAGAGAATATCTGTCGCTCAGGGTTGCAATGAGGAGGCATTGGCGCTCCCTGAACTTGGTGGTTTGCTGGCAGACATTTTATTACCCAACTAGGTAACAACATCAGTAGGTTAAATAATATTATTCTTGTAGGAGAGCATTATATTTATTCACAGTTCTTAATCCAAATTGTATTAGATTAGTATCATAGGGCAGGAAGAGGGACCATGGGATCTTCTAGTCCAGTCTCCTGCTCAAGGCAGGAGACCTTACACCACCTCGGTCAAGTGGCTGACCAGTCTATTTTTATTACTACAGCTGCTGTCAAAACTTCTTTTATAAATGCAAAATAGAAATTCAGGAGTCTGTAAAATATTTCAGTTGTTTTCATCTTGCTACATGTTCAAGGATTAACCAAATAAGGTGATGTACTTTTCAAGGTTTTTTTTCCTCCAAATTCACATTGTGCTTCATGAAAGCCCAGCCTGACATGTGATTCATGACTGAAAGTCAAAGAAACTGGCTACTCTTACTCTATATTTGTCTATGTATCTTTATCATGTGTATGTGACTTTATTTTCATACTCAGCAACCTGCTGCTTATTATTGAACATCCTGATAATGGAGCAGAGGCCAATGCTTCCTTTGAATCCGTGCATAAGCAGAACTATTTCGGCATGGAAAGCTGAATTCATACCTGCACGAAGCTGCTTCTTTCTTATGACCAAAAGGAAAGAAAACTTACCTCTGTTTTGATTTTCCATGTTTTCATTGCATGTGAACCAAAAACAGAATTCATTTTAAATTTTAATTTTACTATCCAAAATTGAAAGTTGATTTTTAATTGGAACACTATTTTGAAAATCAAGCACTGTCAGCTGGGTGGGGAAGCCAAAACATTTTCTCACAAAACATAGTAACATAGTACTATCAAATCATGTCAAGAAACTGCATAGGTGCATCCATGTAAGTTACAAGAAGACAGAATCAACTTACTTCTTACTTTACAAATTTCTGGTCTGCACATAATTGGTCATTAATAAGTATATTAATACAAAACTAAATTCTGATTTATTATTTTCCTAGATGCATGCCATGGATAAACGTTTAGGCCCAGCACTTCATACATGAATATTTTTGCTCATATTCATTCCTGTACTCGTGAAAGCATGTATCTTATATAATACATTACCACATTTTGTTATTCTAAACATTGTGTGAGGGGATTCTATGATAATAGTTAAATCATTTATTGTTGTATGCAGCATTTATTCATTAGTAATATCCTTAATGAAGTTTTTAATAAAATACTGCATATTTATTTTGCCCTTAACGACTGTTTTCATTGGTATATTCTAAATTCACCATGTAACACTTCCATGAAAGAAAATAGGACAAAACTGGAATTCTAAAATTTTGCATGCAACTATATATACTTTATGCTATCTAATAATATGGAAGTTTGGAGCCCTGTTTTATATTATTTTGGCACCGTTTACCAGTCATATGCAGTTTGGGATGCATATTTGATTAAACTGGAAATTTTCAAGCAATCTTTCTGTTGCCAGTACTCGGTGGGCAAATTGCATTGTAATGACTTACTTAGATGATATAAAGGAGAGCATGAATGTGTTTTAACTGATTTGGTGCAGATATTTGCTTTAACTTGGCTTTCACTGAGCTGGGTTTTGTGCTGACAGATGCATACTCCATAAGTCCTGTCAGCCTCTTAAAACTATATTTGAGTTATGCTCAATGCAGTCAAAACAAAATGCTGAGATTTTGTTGAAAACTCATTAAAAATAAATTTTAAAAAAAGAAACAATAATATAGCAAAGCAAAAATATTAATCAATAAAATATAATTCTAGATTTTCTACCTTCTCATAAGTAATTGCCAAGCTACTTCTGACTGAAGTCAAAGAGAATTTATGGAAGGCCTGGTGTAATTTCTAACAATGAAAACAAGGGCTTCACTTGCTTTAGGATCAAAGCTATTTTCTTCACTTAATTGTTTTTTTAAAAATGCATTATTAATTAGGTAATTAACTAGGAAAATTAATGATACAACCTTCCTGTTTCAAAAGAAAGTTGCTTAAAATAAAGGAGAGCAGTTTATTAAAAAAATGAGAACTTTTCATGCATTAATTTAAAAAAATTGATGAGGTTCATAGAAAAACAAGATACAGCTATTTTTAAATGTGTTTTAAAAGAGAGACATTTTAATGTATCTTAAATTAGAATTCCATCTGCACTGAATGAATTTGGAATGTACAGGTAGTCCTCGACTTAATAACAGTTAATTTAGTGACCGTTCAAAGTTACAACACCACTGAAAAAAGTGATGTTTTTTCACACTTATGACCATTGCAGTATCCCCATGGTCATATGATCAAAATTCAGACACTTGACAACTGACTCATATTTATGATGGTCACAGAACTACGCCACCACAGTTCTATAATGTAATAATATATTAATAATACATTACTGCTGAATAACTAGGAAAAATATACAATATAATGGAGTTATGCTTTATATCATACACAACAAAACATGTTAAATATTCTGTGAGAGGAAAGGGAATTCTACTTCATTCAAAAGCATACTAGCTCAGAAGTAGAATCCATGTTTTCTGCGTGTGTTCTGTTTAGGTGAAAACTGGAAAAGATCCTTAACTAAAAACTCTGAAAACCATTCCAAATCAGTGCACACATTGTATACAATTCTATTTAATGGATGCTTTGCTAAAGAAGAATTACTGATCATATGGAAGGTTAGGATAACTAATGTGAAGAAATTGTACTATCTATCTAATTAAAGCATAAAAATAATGAACACTAATATTAAAAATAATAGATAATGTTATATGAGTCATCTAAGTTTTATCTTCTGATACATTCCAAATTCATCACTGCAGATGGAATTCTAATCTCAGATACTAATGTGTTTATTTTATAAAATACATTTTAAAATAGATGTGTCTTGTTTTTCTATGAATCTCATTCATTTTTTAAACTAAAGCATGAAAAATTCTCATTCCTTTTAATAAGCTGCTCTTCTTTTTAAGCAACTTTCTTTTGAAACAGGAAGAACATCCCCTCACATATCCCCCATCCCCTTTTAGTAAATAGCGTTACAATTCAGTAATGTCATTTCTTACTTTCAAGTTCATTTCAGGATGAAACAATACTGGTTTGTATATATTCTCAGCAAATGTGTCTCATTACTATTCAATGTTTCAGGCCCATGTTTGCAATCCATACAAGATGATGATGATGATGTGAATGACCAATACAACAACATCCTCAACAATAAACGGTTCATGCTGGATATGCTGTATGCCCATAATAACTTGCCTTTTACCAAGGATGAAAGAGTTAAAGATTTGGAGGCAAAGATAGATATAAAGAAGGTGTTGAATGCAAGTGATGATACTGTTATCAGCCTACCTAGCAGGATTTCAGTTCTACAAACTAGTAAGCAGGCCAAAGATGAATGTATAAAAAAAATGGAAATTGGAAGTTTGGAAAATCAAGGCAATGTGAAGATCTTTGCAGAAAGATTCAACAGTGGTGATGTGGCCAAAATTTCTAATTTACCTGAAAATAATCTTAATGAAAAGATTTCTGAAAAAAAACCACTGCAAGTTAAAACAGAATCTGACTTTATTTGGGATCAACTCTTGGCTAGTCCAAGAAAATTGAAAATCAAAGATATGGATTTCACAGATTTAGGAGATGAGGATGATATTGACATATTGGATATACAGATCAGTCCTAGTGATTCCCTGGTTCCTCCTCCCCCACCTATACCTTCTGTTTTAGGTTTTCCTCCTCCACCCCCTCCATTGCTTTATAGATGTCCTCTTCCACCCCCACCTTCTGGTAATTTATTGGCTCCATGTCTGTCCAGCGCTCCTCAAGGTTTAGTGTCATCCCCACTTCCTAGAGATCAAGCAAACTTTATAAAAAAGAAGAAAACCATTCGTCTCTTTTGGAATGAGGTGAGGCCATTTGAATGGCAGTGCAAGAAAAACAGACATTGCAAAGGATTCCTGTGGTCAAAACTAGAGCCTATTAAAGTAGACACTGCCAAATTAGAACACCTCTTTGAAACTAAATCCAAGGATCTTCCTATCACAAAGGTACTGTTCTTTATATATCTTAATTTTATTCATATTATAGTAAAATTTATAAATAATTCAATAACTACTGGCATCAGATTTCCATATATAATAAATATTTTATTTTATAAAGTACAGGTAGTCTTCAACTTACGACCACAATTGACCCCAAAATTTCTGTTGCTAAGTAAGGCATTTGTTAAGTGAGTTATACCCCATTTGATGACCTTCCTTGCCACAGTTATTAAGTTAATCTGATTTCTCTACTGCCTTATCTTATTATTATTATTATCTTACCTTGTCAGAAAGTAGCAAAAAATGACCCTGTGGTTGTCATAAATATGACTCAGTTGCCAAGCATCTTAATTTTGATCATGTGACCATGGGGCTGTTGCACTAGTCTGTAACTGTGAAGAACAGTCATAAATGACTTTTTTCAGTGCTATTGTAACTTTGAATAATTACTACATAAAATGTTGTAAATTGAGGACTATGTACTGAGAATCAAGAAAATTGCCTAAATAAGTTTAAAATGTTACATGAAGTTCAAAACCATGTGTAAATACCAGATAAAAGATCTAAACTAGGACAAAGAGTTAGTTTCTTCCTCATTTTCTTTTTTATCACTAAAAATCTCTATGACTTAAAACAGGGATCCTATGGCCCACGGGACAGATATGGCCCCTCAAGGCAACGTATCCGGCCCGTGTGCAGTGGTGATTAAGCCCCACATCCCGCCCCACTCCTTCCAGCCACACCTTACATAGTGGCTGCGCCATCTGCATCGCCCCTCCTCCAGCCGTTGCCCTTATCTTCCAGCCTGCGGGGATCTGCTCACCGCACAGGTAAGGGCGAAGGGTGAGGTTAAGGTCTGTTCACCGCAAAGGTAAGGCTGAAGGGCACGGGTGGCAGAGGACAGCCAGCTGGCATAGGGCCGATGCCGGTGGCGCAGCCACGTGGTCCCTGGCCACTTCCAGCAGCTGCACTGCAGAGAGTCCAGGTGGAGATGCAGGCTGGGAGAGTGGGCTGAGCGCCATCAGCCTTACCTTCCAGCCCACAGGGCTTACAAATCTCACCGTGGCTGCCTGGAAATGTAAGGGCAATGGCAGGAGAGGAAGACAAGTTCTGTGCCCACTGTGCTCAGCAGGTGTGTGGGAACTGGAGAGCTGTGCAGGGACGGCTCACCCAAAAGAACAATGGCAGAGGCTTGCAACTTTTATCTGCTGACTGGCCTTTGGGTAAGGCCCCTCTTCCTCGTCTCCCTTTCCACACTGTCCTCTTTCTCCAAGCACCCGGACCAGGCCAGACAGCAATTCCCAGAGAGGCGCCCTGACCAAAGAGACTCAGACTGTATCCCACGGTTTGCCCACCGCATAAACTGCTCCCGCCCCTTTTAAAAGAGCCTCAACATCTTTTTTGTATCATGGTGACAAGGTCACATATTCTTGAAACTATGACTTTTGATGCAGCCAGGGGTGGGATTCTACCAGTTCGGTAGAACCGGTTGTTATGATTCTCCGTAGTTCAGAGAACCGATAAATCGGGCCTCTGGCTGTCCCCGCTCCTCTCCACCCATTTCTCCGCTGCCTGCCCATCAGTTTTTATCACACATGCGCGACATTGCACGCATGCACAACACTGCTGCGTGCAGTCTGCTCTTGCACGTCTGCCATTGCTGCCTGCTTTCTGATGTGTCCCTACCTTTACTGATCTCCCTGGGTGAGTGAGACTCTGCAAGCCCCAGTCGCCTTCCCCCTCCACTTGCCTTTTGCTGCTGCTGCTGGTCTCCTTCCCCCCCATTTGCCTTTTGCTGCCGCTGATTGCCTTCCCCCCACTTGCCTTTTGCCGCCGCCACTGGTCGCCTTCCCCACACACTTGCCTTCCGCCAAGGAACACGTGGAGAGGCTCGTACAGGCTCCGGCCAGATGAGCGGCTGCTTCTCACACCTGCTGCTGTTACTGGGAGAGCAAGAGAGTTTCCCAGTACAGTGGAAAGCTTCCAAGACCCTCTCCCATTAGAAACAGGTCCCTTCACACATAGGTGCTTGTCGTTTCCAGCTCTAGGGGACGGTGCTAATTTCCGTTACAAAGTTGAAGAGCCAGTACTTCCGAAGACATCTCCATGGTCATGTAACTGGCGTGACTAAACGCTGAAGATGTACGGAACACTGTTATCTTCCCACCAAAGTGGTCCCTATTTTTCTAGTTGCATTTTTACATGCTTTCGAACTGCTAGGTTGACAGAAGTTGGGACAAGTAATGGGAGCTCACTCCGTTACATGGTGCAAGGGAAATTTTGATAGTTAGGACTATTTTATTTTCATTGTGCTTGAAGGCAGATGCAAAGAATGAATTAAACATTCCACTTTCTCCCTGCTACCATTCACATCCCTTCACAGGTTCATCCCTGTGAACCTTGTTGCTTTTTTTTGTTGTTGTTTCTTGAAAGAAATTTTTTATTATTTTTGGCATTTGTTGCTTAGTTTATTCTGAGCCTTCGCTTTCCTAACTTTATCCTTGCAGGTTCATGCTATTTGCTGGTAGTCTGTTTCAGTTATATGTCTCTTTTTCCTTTAGTTATATGTCTCTCTATTTTGATACATTCCTTTAGGATTTTTTACTCCTTCAGGATTTCCATCCATGGAATTCTTCCTAAATTATCTCTTAGTTTGTTGATGCCAGCTCATATTAACTGAATTATGGTGTATATAGTAAGCCTTACAGTTGACATTCTTTTACGAAAAAAATCCCCAAATATCTACTTTCATCTATATAACTTTTTCTTATCTGTTTGCTATTCAGACATCCAATTCACATGCTCAGTGTTCAAACAGTTCTTACATATTCTTTTAAAATACAAATCTGATATCTGTATTAGAAACATAGGTTTTTTTTTTCTGTATAGAAACTTCTTAATAAGTACAACTCTGTCATGAATACCAAAACTGTATTTCAGCTATTTTGCACATAAAAGATCTCAGAATGTGCATTCTGGGGGAAAAAATATTCCGATGAATATAGAAAACAGTGACAGGATGAAAAAAAAATAGAAACATTTGATGGCACATATTAAGCTGTGAAAAGGAATTATGAAGTATTATGAGGATTACTGTAATTCAACAAAATTCTGACCATTTTATTTTTCATAATAAACTAATTCTGCCCATCCCCCTTTTTTAAAATAAAGACCAGGTTTCCTTTAAAATTTGGAATGTTGAAAACCATTCTTAAAGTATTTGCATTGTTTGCTGTTGATTATTTGCTATTTTTATTAATGAGATTTGCTCATTGTCTTAAACCTACGCAGCTTACAGTGGTCAGCGAAAATCAAATAATTAAAATAGTTAAATCCAAAACCTAATCCCCCAAATTGGGTACTGAAATAAAAGAGCTAAATTTTGTTTGATCTGTCTTTCCTTAGCTTTTTAATGCTAGGTTCTGTCATCTTGCACACCTCACCTCCAATGAACTACTATTCATTGCCTGTCAACCAGCCTCTCTAGCAGTATGTGGAATAATTATTTCAGTAGCATTTCAAAATTCTGTTACATTACCTATTAGCAATAAGTATCTTTTCCCAAAACTAAATTGGTTATTTCCTGAATGTGCCTGCCTTGAGAGTCTTAACAGTCCACAACAAAAGTCTGAATAATATGAAAAAAAATTCAATCTCCTAATGAGTCATATTAAAACCAATAATGATTAAAATCCCTGTCTTTAAACTTCATCAACATGCAAGGAGGGTGAGACATTAAAACCTTCCTTTAATTTCTCTATCACCAAACTTCCAGAAGCCCCTTAGAATACAGATCTCTTAAGCAATGGTAGCATTATTGTTTCTGAAAGTGGGCCCAGGAGCACAAAGCTGAGGAAGATTCCTTTAAAAATCCTCCAGCTCCTTCTGAATACAAATAGTTGGGCCTATCAACATCTGATTGAGTGTAAAGAAACCACCAGGAAATCTTGCTGATTTCCTAAAACATCACTTCTGATATTCAAAAAGAATGGCTTTTTCCCCGTAACCCTTGAGAAAATAAAGATATTTAATATTCTTCTTCTTCAAGAGGCCTGGGTGTGTTGGAGTATAATATTTATACGACCTGTCAGACTTCCACGTAACAAGTGACATGACCTTTATATTGGGGACAATTCAAATGCTAGTTGGGACATCCTGAGGCAGTCTTAGCATATTCATTTCAAAGCAATTATATCTAAACAATATTGGGCAGATAATTTTTGAATTACAACTATTATAGTGGCTCTAGAAATCAAATAAATAAATAAATGCAGCCTGCTCATCATGGTTGTAACTCATGATGATCATAAAGCAGGTGGGTCATGTGACTGACCTGATTTTAAGACCTCTTTTGCAGTGATCACTAAGTGAATTACTACAGTCACTAAGCAATTCCATGGTCCTTAAGCAAATGCCATAGCAAGGGGGTGTGATTTTCCTAAAAACCACATAAATGTAGGTTTTCAGCAAAATTGTCATAAAGCATAGTGGGACACCCCAAAACTTCGTTAATTCAATCTAGTTGACAAGCTATGGTGCAGTTGTGACCACAGGGAGGGGCAACGATCGGAATTTGAATCTAGTTCATAAATATCCCTGTCAGAATTTAAATGTTTGCTAAGCAACCAATTCTTAGTCAAGGCTACCTGTATTACATCCATGCACTATCATACTCATTAATGATTTTACTTCCTCAATCTATGACTCCATTTTTTAATTTAATATCTATATTTCTCCCAAGTATCTATTGTCCCAAATTAATGAAATGTGGGATCCTTTAAAGGAATATAGTTCCAATCTACTTAAGTTGTGATCATATGCTACCATCATATTGGTATTTGTCTCCTACAGTATTTATTATAGAAGAAAAAAAATATTCTAAAAAATTGTACCTTGCGAGGAGTTGTTCTGGTGAAAGTAATATTGGCAAAAAAATTCTACATTTCTCTACATGGCGACAGATCTTCTTCAAAGGATACTTCAGTATTATTCATACTGATGAATCCAGAAATGATTAGTAATATAACATTTGCTGACCCCATTGCCAGTCCCTTATCTTGCCAAATAGTGATTGTTTGCAAAGGAAGCTAAGAAAAGGTATTAGTGGCGTTGAAAAGATATTTACCAATCACATTACTTAAAACAAGTTGGATATTAAAAAGTAGCCCGGTTAATATCTGATAATGGAGAGGGCAATTGCTAGGGCTATTGAGGAGAATTCCCTCCACTTTACCTCAAAAAAGCTACCCCTATGCCTGGGGTAATTTTTAAACATAAGTTTAAAACAAACAATATACAAACTCAGGTTTAAAAGCAGCTCAAATGCAGCATTGTGAGGTGGTGCAACCTGAAACAGGAGAAAGACGTTTCCTTCCTTTCCTGCTTCTCTGTTCAGATTACACCTCCACTCACAGCTGCTATTGGCTAATCCAGGTACCCAGGCCAGGGATTGATTCTGACCGAAAGAAATGGTCCTTTCTGGGGCTCAAATTGACAGCAGTAGTGCTGACAGACTTCAGAAATATGCTTAAATACTTAATATGCTTTCTCCCAATCCACAGTAATAACAGCAACAGTAATTGCCGATTACTGATTAAATTTCATCAAAACTACTCAGCCAATCATTCATCTTGTTGTACTGTGCTGCCAGTCTTTTGATAGGGAACATGGAATAATGGTTCTAAGTTAGAGGAAGGCCTGATTCCAGTTAAATATTAGGAAAAATATTTCCTAAAATAAGGACAATTTGAGTGTACATTTATCTAGAAAAGTAGATTTGATTTGTTGCAAGTAGTTGTAGACTTATCTGTTGGACATGCTTTAATCTGGATTTCTGCTTGAATTCGGTGGCCTAATGGTCCGTCCCGAATATTATCGTCTTATCTTTTTCCTATTATAGATTAAACCATTATTTAATTGGAAAGATATGCATATAAGTGGTAACAATTTGAACATTACCATATTCATCTAAAAATCTCAACACCAGAGAAACAAAATGAGGAATTTCTTGTTTACATCACCTGATCCAAGAGTCATATATTGCGAACTGTGATGGAATGTGCATCTGCAGCAGGCAGAGGGGGAGTACTTGGCCAGTCAGAGCTTTCTCAGAAAGAGGCCCGGTTAAGAGACTGCTGTACCAAGTGGGAGGGGTGAACTAGCCATATGATACTCTCCCAAGATATGTTTAGTAGAATAGAAAGTTATTCCTTTACTTTGGCAAGTTTCTGTCCATTAGGTGCAAGCAAATCAAAGGTTGAACTCCATTGGATCTCACAGTCTTATCTCTGGGTTTGGGCCTGACATTAATTATTTTAATAATGTAAAAATATGTACTGCTTTTATAACCAGAGTATAAATAGTACAGTAAAGAAAAAAGGCTTGCTCAAAAATAAGCTGCAAATGATGTATGTTCATGTTAACCTGTTACAACCTGCTACAGCCTAAAAAATAATTAACATTTCACTAGTACTTGGCCAATCAGAGCCTTCCCAGAAAGAAGCCAAATTAAGAGACTGTTGTCACGAGTGGAAGGGGGAAGGGTAGCCATATGATAGATTCTCCCAAGATATATTTAGTAGATTAAAAATTTATTCCTTTACTTTGACAAGTTTCTGTCAAACAATTGCATCTATTTCCAAAGTTTATAAGTCTTATGAATCTTCTAAGAAAAGTCTATAAAAATATATCACAAATTCTGCTTTTACTGTAGAATTATCATGTTATCCATATGGTATACTAACAATAGATAGATATAATTGTTTAAAGACTATTGATATGACTGAAGAAACATAAGAGCTTACAGTCTCTGCTTCTTATTCTCAGAAAACTGCTGCAGATGGCAAGAGGCAAGAAATCATTGTCCTGGATTCCAAGCGGAGCAATGCTATTAATATAGGGCTGACTGTATTACCACATCCAAGGACAATCAAGGTTGCCATTTTGAACTTTGATGAATATGCCTTAAATAAGGAAGGAATAGAGGTACTGAGAAAACCATGCAGAATATTACATTAAACAGTATATTATTTACATATACTAGTGGTTGAAAATATATTGATGTTTGAATTCTCATAATGGACTAATCTGATTACTATTATGTAATATTTTCTCCTTCTGCAGACATATAATCTTTTTAAATCAATCAGCAACATTGGGCATAATTTTAATTTTTGAACAAAACATATGTGTTCATACTCATATTTGTTTCAATGTCACAATAAAAGACCCAATTTTCCTCTATTTTGCAATTAACCAATAGAAAGCCAGAAAAAAAAAAGAAAGCCATCATGGGAATAGATGCAAAAGTATAGAACTCCATCATAAAAGCTTAAGTTAGGTATGTGTTCAAGTTCTAATGGTAGCCTAAATGCCAGTGTGAACTTGTGCAATTCAGAGTACTAAGTGCTAAATTTTAATCAATTGAGATGGAGCAGATATATGAGTCCCATGCAAATTTTCTCAGAGTGGTACAAAGTCTCATGATAACATTGTGATCTCATGAGATTTCAGTGTTCTTGCTTAAGATATTGGACTGTGCACTAGTCAGTTCTCTCCCTGTCTCCCCAAGCATATTATGACAGTTTTTAGCCTGTATATGCAATGTCCTAGTGCTGCTCGTTTTTGAGTCAGTACATATGACTTCAATTAGCAATAGATATGCAAGAACATGATTCTTCAGCAAAATATCTCTTTTAAATTGTTGCACAGAATTGAAAATGTAAAAATGATGTTTTAATGGTTAATTGCAATATTTTAAAGAATTATTAAAATAATTGAAATGTAAACATTTTGCATAATTTTGGTATGGATGATACTGAATCATTCTCATATTTATAACAAGAAAAATTAGTTCTGTCAAGAAAATTTACAAAACTAAATTATTTTTCAGCTTTCATATAGTCAATGTAGAAGAGCAGTCTATATTGTTTGTCTTTGATGGGGTGGTGTTTTTTTGTTTTGGTTTGTTTGTTTTGGTCTCTAGAAAATTCTTACAATGATTCCCACAGAAGAGGAAAAGCAGAAAATACAAGAAGCTCAGTTAGCCAATCCTGATATCCCTCTGGGTACTGCTGAACAGTTCCTACTGACTCTGTCTTCCATTACTGAACTGACTCCTAGACTTCAGCTCTGGGCATTTAAAATGGATTATGAGCTTGTGGAAAAGGTAATTTCTTATTGCTGAATAAATATAATTGTTTCTGGATTTTAATTTAACCTATTTTCTCTCACTCTGGGAATTTCTGTCTGCTGAACTGTTCATTAATACCATTTTGAATATTCAGTAGAATAAGACAGCACTCATCTTTTCCTTAAAATATAATGGACATATTTCCTTATTTCCATAGCTGAAGTACAGTGTACTTGAGCTGGGATGAGAATAATATCAGGAAATAACCTTTCATCCAAGTGCCCTATCAAGTAACTTAACTATTGCATCCCATTGGCTTTCACTTAAATCATATCCACATAATTATCATGCCATCCAGGTAGCTTACTGATTAACATGTCTTGAACTACTGAGTCAAATGCTTTGTTGAAGTCAAGGTATATTACAATTAGAACGTTCCAAATCTCTTAACAAATTTACCCAATCAAAACATATGAGATTAGTCTGGCAAGATTCAATCAATCTGTTTGTTACTAACGCTAGATAAAATACCTAACAAAATAAAACAAAATAAAAATAGTATTATAAGAAGTTCCAAACTTAATTAATGGTGCAACATACTGCACATACAGTAGCACCAAACTGGGACACTTGGGACCATATTTTTGAGTCCACGTATAAACAAAGTTACGTTAAGTACAAATTATATTCCTGAAAATTTCCTCACAATCAGGTAAATGAAAATCTGCCTAGAATCCTTATATACTGTAGACTTAGTATTAGTAGCACTTGGCTTAGAGTTTCTATTGAGCCATTACCATGGAGACATACTTTAAGTTATATAATAGTACACTTAAAACTTCCAAAAAGGGCTTTGAGTGCAATGCATCCAGCCTGCCTAAAGTGAAGGCTTTCAGAATCAAATAAAAGCGAACTGGAGCAAAACCTTTTGGAAGAATATAATAAGTATTGAGGTGTGACATCTTGTTTAAAATTTTTGGAGATTAAATTTGTTGTTTGAGGGCAATTGTAACAGTATCAAACCTAATGAACATGGCATTTGCATAAAGAAGCTCAGTAAATGAATTTTTATCTTGAGATATTTTTAAGCTATGATGATTTAAATGGGACCAAATATATAGAAAAGATTATTAACTTTAGCAAAAAGATATAAAGAAGAAGCCATTCTTTAGCATTCAATAAATCTGTTCCTACACATGAAATAGCATTTTGGATACTTTTTGGAATTTCAATGTTGGCTTGAATAAACTTATTTTGAATAGTAAAGAAAGTTAAGTTTTACAAAAGAAAATTTTTTGAGAGCCTATCTTGGTTCACCTGCTGACCTCAAGTAAAATAAAAATAAATTTAAAAACCAGATGCAAAATCAGAACTATGGAGAGATTCCTACGGGAAAATTTATGGCAAAGCAATTCATTCTTACAGTACAAACTATTATCTTATTAGCAGCTGTAAAATCTGAAATTGCTGAAAATATATTTTGAGGTCTTTATTTAAAAATATAAAGCTGAGCGCACCATTTCCATTAAGGCTTATGCAGAAGCTCCAAGTAGGCCACAAACATATATCAAAAAGCAAGTTTTAAAGTAAAACAAACTGATAAAATTGCACTTCAGACAAGGTAGATTGCTCTCTCTATCTCTCTGGACAATCTTAATATTGGACTCTGTGATTTCAAGAGAATAATTATATAGCCTCCCTAGAACAACATACTGTCAATACAGAGAGTCCAGCAATATTTATTCTTGGCAATCCAATGACCGCATTGTTATACACTTAGATCAATCTTTTTATCATATGTTGTAGAAACAACTACACTGTGTGCACAATTATTAGGCAAGTGAGTATTTTGACGATATAATTTTTATACATATTTTCCAGCTCCAAGCTGTATACGCTTGAATGCTTAGTGGATATAAGCATATTAGGCAATATGTATTTGTGCAATGAGGGCTTTATTACACAAATTGTGTAATTTGTGGCCTATTGAGATCAACATTCTATCAAGGTATGCATAATTATTAGGCAGCTTCTTTTCCTCAGGCAAAATGGCCAAAAAAAGAGATTTAACTGACTCTGAAAAGTCAAAAATTGTAAAATGTCTTTCAGAGGGATCCAGCACTCTTGAAATTCCCAAGATATTGGGGAATGATCACAGAATCATCAAACATTTTGCTGCAAATTGTCAACAGGGTCATAAGAAATGAGTTGAGGAAAAAAGATGCACATTAACTGCCAAAGATTTGAGAAGAATCCAACATAAAGCTACCAGGAACCCATTATCCTCCAGTACTGTCATATTCCAGAACTTCAGCCTACCTGGAGTGCCCAGAAGTACAAGGTATTCAGTGCTCAAAGATATAGCTAAGGTGAGGAAGGCTCAAACCCAATCACCACTGAACAAGACAAATAAGTTGAAATTGCAAGACTGGACTGGGCCAACAAATATCTGAAAACAGATTTTTCAAAAGTTTTGAGGACTGAGAGTGAATCATGATGGACCAGATGGATGGGCCCATGGCTGGATCAGTAACAGATACAGAGCTCCACTTGGACTCACACACCAGCAAGGTGGAGGTGGGGTACTAGTATGGGCTGGTATTATTAAAGATGACCTAGTTGGACCTCTTCGGGTTGAAGATGGACTCAAAATCAATTCCTAAACTTACTGCCAGTTTTTAGAAGACACTGTCTTCAAGCAATAGTATGGAAAAAAGTTTGCATCTTTCAAGAAGACCATGATTTTTATGCAGGACAATGCTCCATCGCATGCATCGAAGTACTCCACTGTGTGACTAGCCAGTAAAGGCCTTAAAGATGGAAGAAAGAATAATGACATGACATGTTCCTCGCCTGATCTAAACCCTATTGAGAACTTGTGGGCCCTTCTTAAATATAAAATGTACGAAAATAGTACACCTATGAACAGTGTCTGGGAGGCTGTGGTTGCTGCTGCACAAAAAGTTTGTCAGCAGATCAAGAAACTGACAGAATCCATGAATGGAAGGCTTATAAGACTATTATTGAAAAGAAGGGTGTGTCAGGGTTCCAAATAACACGTCCAACAGAATCATAACTCCAAGGCAGGCATATTCCTCAAAGTATAGATTTATTAGACGTCATATTTGAACATCTGGGGAAACCCGATGTTAAAAGTAAAGCTTTCCTTTCCTGCCCATGCAGTCCATCACATAGTCCAATCAGATTACATTCCAAAGGTCACTTGGTCTCAGATCCCACCTCCTCGCACCTGGTGGGAAAATCCTTGGTTCTCAGAGGAAAGAATTTTATTTTGGCTACAATCACCAGCTGTCTCTATCTCCCCGCTCCTCTTCTCACAGCTAGACTCATCTCTGCTGTGGCAGCCTTGGAGATGCCAGAAGAAAATGGCTCCAGGGCTGACAAGGTGGCTATATTGGTCACTTATTTTTTTTAAATGTCAGAAATGTTTACTTGTACATTTTGAGTTGTTTGTTTATTCTCACTTTAACAAATGCAAATAAACGAGTGAGATGGGCAATTTTTCATTTTTTTAAATTCAATTGTATAATAATTCTGCACACTAATAGTTGCCCAATAATTGTGCACACATATTCTCCTAAGAAAGCCAATAGCTTCCTTTTATTTTCTTAAATATTCATGTTTGAGATTTATTAACATTTTGGATTGACCAAGAGCACTGTAATTGTTCAATAATAAAATTAATCCTCCAAAATACAACTTGTCTAATAATTGTGCACATAGTGAAGGTGAGCGAGTATCTAAAATACTAAAGGCAGATTTGATTGTTTTGTTTTTTTATCCAACATTTATCTGGCATTCCAGTTTTCGAGGATTTGTACTGATTTTATTTTATTTTATTTTATTCAAAAGAAACAAAACTAAACTAAACAAAAACATTGAAAAATGTGAATCGAAAAGGACAAAAATACATATTATCTCACCTCCATTAAACACTGACAAATCTATTACAACAATAGCTTCTCCTTGCAAAACAAAATTTATAAACTTGTACATCTATTTAAATCCAATTGACATGTCATACATTACATATATGGGAAAAAATAGTTAACAGGTTAAACCTCAATAAAGTTAAAGTTCAAAGCAATCTGTTATCACTTTGTGATTGTAATTTACTCATAAAAAATCGATACCGTTTCTTATTTATCACAAATCGTCCCAGTCATTATCTCTGAGTCAGGAGGCAAATACTCTTGTTTAGTTCTTAATAGTGAAACTTTTCCTTCGTTTTTAATTGGGAACTTTCCCAACAATTGCATCTCATTTCCAAAGTTCATAAGTCTCTGTTATAAATATTTCTGCAACATCCATTGTTGAATAATTCTCCTTGACAACACATTATTCCTCTTGCCTAGAAAGGCCACTCCATCCTTCATGATATCCATTATTTCAGAATTTCTTATGTTCATATTCTTTTCAATCTTTTCTAGTAGTTCTACATCTTTCAAACCAAACATTTTCTTCTTATCATCTTAGAGCAATTCCTCAAATTGCAATTCCTCAAATTGAAAATTATTATTTCTTGCGTTTGGATACTATCTTAAATTTGCAGATCAAATTTTTTGTTTATGTCTTCAAATAAAGCCTGTAAGTTGGAGAACATTCTTTTTTCAATTGCCTCCCAAAATATTTTGTCTCCTTTTAGAGGCATGAGAAACACTTTTATTTTCAAGTACAAGACGTAATAGCTTCCACAAGAAAAACTGTTTTTCCTCCCCACAGTTAAAGAATGGGAAATTTTCCCATTAAAAAATTAAGAAGTAAATATCAAGGCCCTTTTTTAAAAAAGGAAAAGGCTAGAAAGAGCAAAATTTATAGTATAATCCTGTGTAAATGTAAATCCCATTGCTACTTCCTTAAAGCTTAAAGAACTCTTTAAAATTTGATAATAAAGAGTGAAAGTGCAGGGAGGGAAATAGAAAAGTCCAGCAAGAAGTAATAATGTAAGTCAGAAGTCAAATATAAATCAAAAGATTGCAAAGCTTCAAAAAGTGTAATTAAAACCCAGTTGTGCT